AGAAGAGAAGCAGTCCAGAGATGGAAGACGCTGACGACATCTTGCCATAATAGCAGTCAGCAGCTGTGTGTCACTGCAGGTTGCCCAGGACCAAACCAGAGAGGGTCGGATCTGCATCACCACCATTTGCCCACCATCCAGAACTGAAATAGCATTGCTAACATAAACACATAAGGAACTGTTTGACATTGAATTTGAATCTAAAAAGAACTGTTGGCCTAGAAAGAAACTCACTACAGACTGATTCATATGCCTTCCAGCATAACCATTATTGCTTGTCTCATTTTCGACTCTTATAAGTTTATTTCCAGAAGAACATGATCTCATTCATCTAGGAGAAATGGTGAACAACATAGACTGATGAACAAGAACAGACCCAGAGATAAGGAGTCATGGGTCAGACTGTTGGACCTGAAAGAGAGGGTGGGGAATAAAAGGGAGAGATCAACCAAAGGACCTGTGTGCATACATATGAGCCTAACCAGTGGTCAAGCACAATGGGGGGGAGGGGGGGGAGAAGCATGAGTGGAGAGAGGTTGGGGATTGGAAGGGGGGTTGAGGACAAATATGTGATACCTTAATCAATAAAGAAATTAAACACACACACACACACACACACACACACACACACACACACACACAAATTTGGCCTGCAATTCCACTAATTAAAGCCCATTCAATGGCTCTCATTGTTCTTGGGGTAAAGACCTAGATCCTTAAAATGATATAAAAGGAAGCTGTGCATTTCCTGTGCCTTCCTCCCTAGGCTTTTCTTTTTCCACTCCCCTCCTTACACCCTACAAGCTAGTCATTTAAACTTTTTTTTGAGTCCCTCAATTGCATTTTTAAAAAATTTCAGGCCTCCACTCATCTGTTTCCTCTGCTAAATAGAATTCTCTCTCCCTCCCCATTCTTCAGGTTCCAGCTTCAGGCTGACTGGAAGTCATCACTGTTTACCATGCCCTAGTGATTCCCTAAGACCCCACCCTACCCAATTTACAAACCCACCTGATCTGTGCACAGCTGCTTTTGCAGATGAATGGCCTGCCTTTTCCCAGCTTAGCCTAACAAATTGCAGCTGGGTCAAAGAGCTCCAAAACTTCCAAACCCCAAACAAAGAGGAGAAATCTTCAGATCTTGCTGTAGCTCCTGCTGGATGGCCTTAGATATTAGCTGACTTGCACCTCCTTGGAGATCCAGGAGACAGTATACCTAGTGGTCAGTGTGAGACAACACCATATTTCAACTCTCACATATATAAGTGACATATTCAAGAGGCAGACTCAGTGAGCACCAAAGCCCCACTGAAGCAAGTCCTGCCACATAAAGTTGTCTCCAGCACAGCAGTTCTTCCATTATAGACACAGATGATCCTCAGAGCCAATTGGCCTGGAGGTCAGTTCCTCCCAGTGTTCCAACAGCAATCAAAGCTTAACTACAACAAGACTGTGCATCCAGCCACAAAGGGGTGCACCAAGAGTGTCCATCTCAGGTAATTGGGGAGGCTGAGCCACTGAGCCCTATAGGTCACCTACCACACAAAGCCACTCCATCAACACAGGGAAGCAGCCAAAATGTAGAGACAAAGATACATGTCACAAATGAAAGAAATGGAGGAAAGCAAACTACTGGATATAGAGTTCAAAACCACAGTTATAAGGTTACTCAAGAATCTTCTAGAAACCGCCTAGAAACTTAGTGAGACCTTCAAGGATCTTAATGAGAATGCAAAAAAAAAAAAAAAAAAAAAAAAGGTAAAATTAAGCATACACTGTCTGAAATAAAGAATAACATACAGAAATTAAGCATACACTGTCTGAAATAAAGAATAACATACAGAAATCCAACAGTAGACAAGAGGACCCCAAGAATCAAACCAAAGCTTTGAAATATGAGGAAGCAAAAAACACCCAACCAGAAAAACAAAAAGAAAAAAAAATCCAAAAATATGATTATAGTGTAAGGAACCTCTGGGACAACTTCAAGCATACCAACATCTGAATTATGGGGGTGCTAGAAGAAGAGAGAGCGCAAAATATTGAAAACCTATTAGAAGAAATATTGACAGAAAAATTTCCCTACCTGATGAAAGAAATAGACTTACAAGTCCAGGAAGCACAGAGAACCCCAAACAAAAGGAATCCAAAGAGGATCACACCAAGACCTATCATAATTAAAATGCCAAGGGCAAAAGACATCTAGAAAGCAGCCAGAGAAAAAGTTTCCTACAAGAGAGTACCCATACTACTGTCAGCAGATTTCTCAACAGAAACTATGCAGGCCAGAAGGGAGTGGCAAGAAATATTCAAAGTGATGAACGGCAAGAACCTACAACCAAGATTACTCTACCCAGCAAAGCTATCATTTAGAATTAAAGGTCAGATAAAGAGCTTCACAGAAGAAAAAGCTAAAGGAGTTCATTAGCACCAAATCAGGATTATATGAAATGCTGAAGGGTATTCTTTAAGAAGAGGAAGAAGAAAAAGGTAAAGATAAAAATTATGAACAACAAAGTGAAAACAAATACATATCTAAAAATCAAGTCAATAAAAAATCTGATGAACAGAACAAACTGGTGAATATAATAGAATCAGGGGCATAGAAAGGGAGTGGACTGACAATTTTCGGGAGGAAGGGGGTGTGAGGGATCCAGGAAGAGACTGGACAAAAATCTTACACCTATGGATAAGGACAGTGGTGGGGGGTAAGGGTATGGGGTGGGGTGGGGTGGGGGAATCAGGTGGAGGGGAGCTAAGGATGGGGGGGAAGAAAGGAGGAACATTTGTAATAATCTGAATAAAAATTATTTTTTTAAAAAGAAAAAATATATAACTATGGAAGTAGCTTGCATCTCATGTCCTCTTACTGTTGTAAAATTATACAGGAAGCTAAACTAAAATATGAAACTGACTTGCCCAGCTTGAAATCAGAGCAAGGGATGTTAAGTGGATTATTATGAGGGCTAAAGGCCTGATTAGTATTAATGACTATGCTAAATGCACTGAATTTTTTATTTGGTTTCTTAAATTTAAAAAATAATGCATAGTTCTGTTTTCAATTTTAAGTCACAGAAACAAAAAATGTTGAGCTAAGAAAATAAAAAAGGTTCTGCCTTTTATAACTAAATACCTGGATTAGTTGCAAGTTTGGTATTTGCTATCCATCAAGGTTGGCTTGGCCCCAGGAGTTTAGGAGCTAAAAAGGATCTGGCTTAGCAAAGGAGAAACAGCTGGCATGCAGGAGTCCTCTTAGAGGGGCAGAGCCCTATATGAGTAGAGGGCAGAACTAGCTGGTAGGTGTGGTGAGGGGTCTGAAATCAAGTAGGAGACAGTCACAGGCGTCAACTGTTATCCCCAAGATCAGAAAACTATACAGCATTACTGGGGTGGAGGGGCCCTTAGGGATCATCTAGTTCAGGGGTAGGGGACCTTTTTTCTATCAAGGGCCATTTGGATATTTATAACATTATTTGATTAATATAATTCACTTAATTTAAATTTATGTTGCTATGAAAAAAGCTCCTAGATTTATTGAATTTTGAGTCCTGCCTGGGGTTGCCTTGGCAGGGCCAGACCAAATGATTTTGTAGGACTTATACGGCCCAAATGCAGACTGGACATTACCCACCTGATCTAGTTCAACCTCTCACATTTTAGAATGACTTGCTCTAATCCTAGTTGGGATTAGACCCCAGTTCAATGCTCTGACACTGCTTCTTTCTTATTTCATATAAGGGATCTGGAAGCCAAAATCCAGGGTCTCAAATGAAGCTTTAAGGAGAGCCCAGAAGAGAATGGGGAGAATAGAGGGGAGATGTGTGAAGGCAATATGGTTCAAAGTGACAGCCCTGACAGCTAGTCCTACTGAAAAATCTCCAAGGCCTCCCTCTCTAGACTGGGATATCAACAAAATCAAGTCACTTAATTCTCTGAACTTCGCTTTTCTCATAAGTAAAATATAACTGAAAATAATTATTTCTAGTTCAGAGTTACCAGGAAGATAAAATGAAATGCGTATAAAAGAACATTAAATACTAGTATTTTTCCTACTTACTGCAAGCAAGAAACAATCTCATTACTTTCCATCTTTTTCACATTTGCACACTAATGACCAGAAGGCAAAAAAGAAGAGATCCTACGATTACAGAGAACAGGCGTACACATACAGAAAATATCTTGTTTTGTGAAATGAGTTGAGTAACCACATTTTTCCCACATTGTATCACTTGCTCCTTAGCCAGGACACTGAGACGGCTGGAGTTCTTCTATTTCTGAAAGTTACATTACAGAACCTACTAAGGGTCTGGAGTGGTGAAGGAGGGAGTGTTGGAGGAAACCACCTGGTGCTGGAATGATGACTGAAGGATGTGGTATGAAAATGCCAACTGGAAGGTCTTTCTCTACCTTCTGAGCCTGGTCATCTCTGTTAAAAATCTAAGGTCTCCAGAGATACACAGAATTGGAGAGGAAAATAGTCAGCAAATACCTCTGGAGGCAGCAACCACATAGTGAGTCATGTTGCTTATCAGCGTGGTGTGTAGTCAGAAAGGAATGCATGTCCAGCAATTCTTGGACACAAATTCTCAGCTCTTCTGGCTCCTGAGAACTGCCTAACTGCTGTAAGAGATTTATTGATCAACATAACAGATTCTCTAGGCAAGAAAGGGAGAAAATAAACCTAACTGAATATAGTCTGGATCAATAAGGCTTATTCTATTTTAGTCTCAGTTAAACAAGAATGGCTCCACTACCACTTCCAAGGCACTTCTCTTCTTGCTGCTTCCCTGCCTACTTTCATTTGACATTTTTATTCCTATTGTTGCTAATTACTCACAGGTAGGCTTTGTGTGTGTTTGTTTTTTTACCTAAGTTACTGGCTCTTGCTCCTCCTCTGCCTACTAGTGAGGTTTATTGGTGGAGAAATACTGACCATAAGAGATCTAGGTAATCTCTATCATCATTTTGGGTCCTGATTTCAAGAGCTCAAAGATGGGCCTTTACCTTTAGTGCCAGGAGGCTGTAGGTTGTCTCCAGTCAAGGAACACCAGCCTACAGGGAAGATGTCCCGGGAGTCGAAGCGGCACCAGTAGTCAAAGGCCCCTCGCCACCCATCAAAAGTGACAAGCACCTCTGAGCCCCGCACCTCCCCTATAGTGGCTGGGCAAATGAAATGAGGGTTCTTCCTGTCCACAGCTTCTAGCTTCATTCCCATTTTGAAGAAGTTGTGGGAAGGCGATGGTGGTTCCTAGATGAGAAACAGAAATATATAGACCTAGACACAGAGAGAGAGGCTATGTATGCCAAAAGACTGCTACCTCATTTGGATGATAAAAAAGGGACTGCTATATAAGAGTTAAAATGAAGATTTAGTCTTTCTTTTAAATGAATTAAAAAAAAATACTAAATATTTGTAATCCTAACACTGTGACATTTGCTTCAGTATTTTTAAAAAAGTAAAAGGTAACAGGTAAAGTTGAACTTCCTTTTGTGCCCTTCCCCTATCCCACTCCCCATGGATTACATATCCATTTACATATTTTAAACTTTATATAAGTAGTATTAACTGAATATGTCATTCTATAAGTTGTTTTTTGTTCAACATGTTTTTGAAATTTATCTAGTTCATTTTAACTGCTAATAGAAGATATTATATAAGATATTATATGCATATGTCACAATTTATTTATTCTTTTGGTAGACATTTAAGGTTTTTCCAGCTGTTCAAAAGTTAAAAAAAAATTTTTCTTATTTTTATTGATTTCAGCGAGGAAGGGAGAGGGAGAGATAAAAACATCAATGATGAGAAAGAATCATTGATTGGCTGCCTTTTGCACACCCCTACTGGGATCAAGCCTGCTACCCAGGCATGTGTCCTTGATCTGAATCAAACCCGGCACCCTTCAGTCTGCAGACTGATGCTCTATCCATTGAGCCAGACTGGCCAGGGCTGTTCAAAAGTTTTAATGACCATTCTTGCATTTGTTTCTTTGTATGGGAAGGTTTCTTTAGGACATATACCTAGGAGTAAAATTGCATTATAGGATAAATATACACATCTTCTACTTTATAATTATTGCTATATTGCCTTCCAAAGTAGTTTTAACATTGTATACTCTCTCTAGCAGTGTTCTCTTCTCCTCTCCCTCTCTCTCATGCTAATTCACAATGTAATTGCTTAGATAAATTTCACAAAATAAGTGTTACATTCTATTCTGTTACCCTGGCTTTACTGTCTGATCCTACACAAATAACATATCTCATTAAATAGATATCTGGAAGAAAAAAATCCCCTTATTTTGTCATTCTTCAATATTGTTTTGGCTATTCTTTCTCCTTGGTCTTTTTATTTTTATTGTTGACACTATTGCAGATGTCTCCCATTCGCCCCTCTTTGCTTAACTCCTCTCAGATCCCGCCCTCTCCTCTCTCTGGTCCTCACCACATTGTTGTCTGTGTCCATGGACATATATGTTCTCTGGCTCTTCTCTTCACCTTTTGTATGAATTTTAGAATCAGCTTTTCAAGTTCCACATAAGAACCCTATTTGGATTTTGACTGTAATCCTAATAAATTTATAGATTAATTGGGAAAAAGTAACTTTTGTATGTATAATTTGAACTCTCCCATCTATGAACATGATAGCATTTTTCATTGGTTAAGTCTTCTTTAATATAGATTTCTTCTTTAATATACAATTTTAAATTTATAAAAACTCTTGATTTTTACTAACATTTTCTAGATGCATTGTAACTTTATTGCCATAAGTCATATTAAAAATTTTTTTAAAAATATATTTTATTTATTTTTTACAGAGAGGAGGGAAAAGGGATAGAGAGTTAGAAACATCGATCAGCTGCCTCCTGCACACTCCCTACGGGGGATGTGCCTGCAACCAAGGTACATGCCCTTGACCAGAATTGAACCTGGGACCCTTTAGTATGCAGGCTGACACTCTACTGAGCCAAACAGGTTAAAGTTAAAACTTTTATTTTCAAACCATTTGTTAAGTAAGAATGCAACTGAGCCGAAACCAGTTTGGCTCGGTGGATAGAGCATCGGCTTGGGAACTGAAGGGACCCAGGTTCGATTCCGGTCAAGGGCATCTACCTTGGTTGCAGGCATATCCTCAGTAGGGGGTGTGCAAGAGGCAGCTGATTGATGACTCTCTCTCATCGATGTTTCTAGCTCTCTATCTCTCTCTCTTCCTCTCTGTACAAAATCAATAAAATATATTTAAAAAAAAAAGAAAGAAAAAAAGAATGCAACTGATTTTTTACAAATTGATCAACTAATTTAATTCAGATTAGCTTAGGATGACTGATACAATTTTTTTGTCTGCTTGATTTATTGATTATTCAGAGGTATATATTAAATTATCCACTAGTGATTGTGGATTTTCCATGTAATTCTGTCAAATTTTGCTTTATATACTTTGAGGTTGTGTTCTTTAGGAGCATCATATTTATAACTTTCATTTTTCTTGGTAAACTGTACTTTTTTTGTTTTATTAATTCTCACAAGAGGATTTTCCCTATTGCTTTTCAGAGAGAGTGGAAAGGAGAAGGGAGGCAGGAAGGGGGGAGAAAGAGAGGGAGGGGGAGAGGGAGAGGGAGAGAGAGAGTGAGGGACAGAGACATCAAATGGTTGCCTCCTTCATGAGCCCAGACCAGGATTGAGGAGAGAACCCACAGCCCAGGTATATGTCCTGTGTCCCTGAGGGGGAATCAAACCTGAGATTGTTGTGTGGACTGATGCCCCAACCACCGAGCAACACCAGCCATGGATGAACTGCACTTTTAAAAAATCATTAGATAGTGACTTCTAAATGCTTTTTAGCCTCAAAGTCTCCTTTGTCTGATTTCAGTATAGTTAACATCAGCTTTTTACAGCTGATGTTAACTATAAAAATAGTTATACAGCTGATGTTAACTATAATATATATATATGTGTGTGTGTGTGTGTATATATATATATGTATATATGTATATATATATATATATATATATATATATATATATATATATTGATTTTAGAGAGAATGAGAGAAGGAGAGAGAGAGAAACATTGTTGATTGGCTGCCTGCTGCATGCCCCTCACTGGGGATCAAGCCTTCAACCAGGATAGTGCCTTAACTGGGAATCAAACTGGCAAACTTTCTGAACACAGGACGACACCCAACCGAGCCACACTGGCCAGGGCAACACCAGCTTTATTTTGATAATGATTTGCCTGGTATATCTTTTATATTCTTTTACTTTCAACATGTATATTAAAAAAAAATAATCTAATCTTTTTTGCCGAAACCGGTTTGGCTCAGGGGTAGAGCGTCCGTCTGCGGACTGAAAGGTCCCAGGTTCGATTCCGGTCAAGGGCATGTACCTTGGTTGCGGGCACATCCCTGGCAAGGAGTGTGCAAGAGGCAGCTGGTCGATGTTTCTTTCTCATCGATGTTTCTAGCTCTCTATCTCTCTCCCTTCCTCTCTGTAAAAAATCAATAAAATATATTTTTTTAAAAATCTAATCTTTTTGACTAAACCAATGAGTTTAAGCTCATTTCTTGTGATAACTGATATACTTAAATTTATTATATTTCCTAGAATTCTATTTTTCTTGATTTTCAAGGTTCTTTTTTCCCTTCACTGAATTTTCTTTCCTCCCCCCTCATTGAATCAGATGTTAACCATTCTTTTATAATCTTTCAGTGGATCTCCTTAAGACTATTCAGAGGTATATATTAAATTATCCACTAGATATAAACATCACTAGATATAAAGATGAGTTTTAGACTGACTTATGTCAACTATACAGTTGACCGCCTCTCTGACTCTGGCCAAGCTGAGCAGGCTTTTTACTAGAACACAGTGTAGCTTCGGGTACAGAACATGTACAATTTGCATGCATAAAAAGCTTGATTGGATTGGCTGAGTTAGAGAGGCGGTCTATTAAAAAAAGAACTTGTGTTGCCTCGGAAGTGGGGGGTTGTCTTATACAGCGAATATAGGCCTAAACCTATGTTTTAACTGTAAAATTAGGGGGTCGTCTTATACACCGGAAAACACGGTATTCTATTATCTTTGTTTTGAACTGCTGCTGTCAAGAAACATGCTGTCAGCTTAACTACAATTCTTTGGAAGGAATTCTGTGTATTTGCTCAGATATTTTCTTTTGACTTTAGTTATACCATGATTTTTTTTTTTTTGATGGTTCTGAATTTTTATTGTTGAAAGTATTACACAGGTTCTCCTTTCCCCACCATAAATCTCTTACACCATGATGTTTTAAGCTGGATATTTACCTTTACTATTCACTCTGGAAAATTCCGTCATTATCTTTATAAATATTGGTTCTTTCTATTCTTTTTTTTTTTTATTACTTCTGGATTTCATATTCAACATCAATGGACCTTCTAATATTATTCTCTTTATCTCTTCTCTTTAATATTTCCATTTCTTTATTTGTGATGCAATCTGGGGAAATTCCTTACATGTCTTTCAGTTAATTCTATCTATATCTATGTTGCTTATATACATATTATTAATTTTCAATTTTAATGGTTGTTTCATTTATAGATGTTCAATTTTTTCCCTCAAATCTGTCTTTGAAAAATAGGTTTTATACTTTTATTATTTAAAAAATTTCTTCTCTTTGCCCTAGCTGATGTACAGTGGTTAGGGCATTGGCCCATGCTCCAAAGTATCAAGGGTATGTACCTGGGTTGCCAGTTTGAACCCCCGAACCCATCATGAGGATATGGGAGGTAACTAATTGATGTGCCTCTCCCACATTGATGTTTCTCTTTCTCTCCTCCTCCTCTCCCCCTTCCTTCACCTACTCTGTCCCTCCCTTCCTCCCTCAATTCCATTCTTTCTGAATAATCAGTGGAAAAAATATCCTCAGGTGAGGATTAATAACAACAACAAAATTAAAAATTCTTTTCATTCTTTAATCAGTTTCAAAAATTTAATTTATAATCTCTATCTATCTGATATTTCTATTCTGAAAGTCCTTGGGGTTATAGTCGTACTGTTTGTTGTGTCTACCGATGTCCCACCACAATGGATTTGTTTTGAGAGTTTTTGAGAGCTCTGTAATTCTGAAGGGAGTACCCATCTTCAGTGGTACTTCACTTTGGGAACTTCTATGACATCTGGGTTGAAAGCAACCAAAGTCTCTAGAGAGGTTTTGGATTTGCTTCTGCTGGGCACTCAGAAATCTCTCCATAAACTCTGGAGTTTCTAGACAACACAGGTACCATATCTGAGCCTGGATTTCCATGAGGGAAAGACTGTTTTATCAAGGCAGAAATCCTCCTCATCAATGTAACAGTCTTTCACTAAGGAGTAAACATTTGAGGTATCTGATCTGTTTTTTTATATGGCAGTCTCAAGTCCATTCCTGGTTTTCATGGGCTCAAAGCCTCATCTTCTATCCTACTGTGGCTGATAAAAGACAAGATTATTGGAAAGCTCCTTAAAATACCTGCAGGTTTAGTGCATGTACTTAACACTCTAGTTTTCCTGCTTCATTTTAGCTTCTGGAGAACTTTCTTTCATTTTTTATTCTCACTTGAGGATATTTTTCCATTGATTTTTAGAGAGAGTGGAAGAGAGAGAGGGAAAGACATAGATAAATATCAATGTGAGAGAAACACATTGATTGGTTGCCTCTTGCACAGGGTCCGGGCCAAAGAGAAGCCTACAACCGAGGTACATGCTCTAGACCAGAATTGAACCTGGAATCCTTCGGTCCATAGGCCAACACTCTATCCACTGAGTCTAACCAGCTAGGGTGAGTTTTCTTCCTTTTTAGTAAGCTCAACCAAGCATTTAAAAAAACAGATGTCCCCTGCCCCCACCAAACATTTTGAGAGTCTGTAGTTAAAGGGTTTTTAAGTTGCCAGCCAGAGTGCTTTAGGGTTTAGACTTTAATAGCAGCACAGGCAACACTAATTCAGTACCCTTTATAACTCTAACCTCATTAAAGATAAAAGAATTCAACTGAGAGCAGACTGATGCCTCATCCCTGGAGAAATAAGGGAAAATGAATATGGGTTATTGATTCCTATTTCACCACTTACTAGCCATGTGATCTTGAGCAAGTTCCTTATTCAAAAGTATTTGCTTCCTTAGCTATTAAATGGAAATAATATTTCTTGTTTCAGAAAGTTAAGTGTGGGTATTAAATGAGATAGTATAAATAAACTCCAAACATATCATAGGCACTCAAAAATTATCTCATTTCTTTCCCTCTGTTCAGTATATGAAATTTACAAATTCCAAGATCTATAACAAGAACAGCTCCTTTAGATTTATATCACATTTTATATACTTTACTAGTAAACACATTTTAATTTAACTATCCTGTAAGGTAGGCAGAATCCCACTTTAGGCATCAAGTCAAAAAGACATAGCTTATTATTGGTATAGTTAGGACCCAAAAACCAATAATCATAATTTAAAGTCTATATTTACAATTATCTTCTGGGTATAACTGCTGCTTCGTAAGGTATTAAACAATCCCGTCTGCTGAATTAGTTTCTGAGAAGGCATCCTCAGGCCATAAATGTAATGCAGATATCAGAGGCTAAGTAATTGGAAGAATATAAGCATATGACTTTGAGCAATTTAGAGTTGGTGATATCTGAGGGACACCGTACCTTGTGGAAAATCCTGATGGGAGCCATTTCAGCTCCATTTAGTGTCTTCAAAAGGAACATGGGCCAAGAGGAGGCATTCAACCGAAATCCTGCAGCAAACATAATAGGCAACAGATAAAAAATATGTTTCAAAGGAAATGGCAATATCAAGTTTTCCCTTTGGAATCCAGTTACTCCTCCATAACCTACACTGTGATGTTACAGAATCACAGACTGTTAGGAAAGGACTTAAAGGTTAAGTAGAGGAAATGCCTCATTAGACAGATGAGAAAATGAGGCACATAGAGGGAATGTAACTTGCCCAAGTGTAACGTTGCAAAACAAGTAGTGGAACAAAGTCCCCAACCAAGGGGCCTGACTCCAGGACAAGTATTACAGATTCATAGCGCCTAAAAAGTTTTCCTTGAAAAAATCTAAAATAGATGTGAGATAAAATTAACAAATACTTAGAAATGATCTAGACAGTAGAGTGTGAAAGTTTTTCTTCTTAATAATCTCTTAAGAAGAAATCAAATATGTCAACTGATAAACTCAGTATACAAGTGAATCTTTTTAGTTTATTTCAATATAAACTAACTCACTATTTTTCTTTTTCTCTCCTCCTTTGTTGTGTGTGCTCTCTCACTTTTCTTTCACACACATACACACCAAGTACAAAACACTTTCTGATCTTCAATTTTACTTAACCAATGAAGGATCAGCAATGATGAAGATGAAAGGGATCATCCTGTCTAAAGATATTCATTTTACAAAAAAATAAAAAGCCTAGAGAGGTTAATTGTCCATTGTCATTCAGTAAGGAAAAGTCAATAAGAATGTACCATTTAATTAATTATAAAAATAAGATCATTATTGTAGTTAGATCTCCCAATTAGTGGAAAGAAGTTCCAAGTACTCCTTTCAATCTGGCTTCAATTTTCTCCTGAGTTATCAAAATCTTGTACTTTTTTCATAGCCTCCCAATCTAACTCAGTTTTCCCATTTCTGATAAAAGAACAGAGAGGCTGCAGCCAAGCTGCAGAGCTGAACATTACAATAGAATCTGATATTTTTAAACTCTTTATTGTGGATCAGACACTGTACCAATCACTTTCCACTGACTATCTAATCCTCAAGGCAACCCAGAGAGCAGATATTATCTTCATTTTATAGATGAGAAAAGATACATGAAGTAAACTGATTAAAATTTCTAAGTGAGAAAATGACAAAGATAGGATTGAAACCCAGGCAATCTGACCTTTGAGCCCACACTCTTAACCACTATATTCAACATTGTGTAGATAAAATGAAAAAGGAAGAATCAGCTTTTGGGATTATAATTAAATTATTGGGGTAGAAGCAAGAAGGGAGAAAAAATAGAATAAGATTTACCACCCTATATGTTTTAAACTTTTAGTCTCAAAGCTGGCTAGGCTAAGCCCAGCCTCTAAGGCCGGAAGATAACTTGGGGTAGCTCAATTACACCAACAATGGCGACAGCAATATGGATGCTCCTATCACTTAATCTAAAACTACCATCACTTTTTTTGGCTTGTCTAGCTTCCCTTCCCCCAGTTTTGGGAAAAAAATCCCATCCAAATTCTATGTGATTTGTTGAGAATGTCTGTCACATGGCTCTCTCTGCCTAACTGTGGAATGGAAAATAATTCCATTCAAGAGCATTAGATTCCCCTAGACCAGGAGTGGGGAACATCCAGCCCACAAAATCATTTGGTCTGACTTTGCCAAGGCAACTAAAGGTGGGACTTGAAGTTCAGTAAATCTAGGAGCTTTTTTTCATAGCAGCATAATTTTATATTATGGGAATTATATTATAAATATCCAAATGGCCCTTGGCAGAAAAAAGGTTCTTCATCCCTGCCCTAGACCAAGAGTGTGCATATATATTTCAAATTGGTATGCATATATAGTCTTTCTGATATGGTATGCATATATAGTCTTTCTCCAAGTTCATGGCTAGATAAGAGTTTGTAGATTTGGCATTGCTACATAGAGAACAGAGTTGAGAATAAAGCCAAGGTAGTGCAAGTGATGGAGAGACATGAGAGTGTTTAAAGCCCTGTGTTCAGACATACTCAATTACCAGACCTTAGACTTCTGTTATATGAGTCTGTAATTCCTGTCTCCTCCTTCAACTTGGTTTGAGTTAGTTTTTTTCACTCATAGACCAAAGAATCTTGACTACTCTTCCTTTATCATGGTTAAAAGAAAAAAAAAAATAAATTTCCAAAGAAATTCAAGTTCAGGCCCAGTCTGTGTGTGGGGAAAACCACCTCAGTGGGTTGTTCTAAGGATTAATACATGTGAAGGACTTAAAATTCTGCTTGGTATATGCTAAATGTTAGACAAATGCTGGCTATTATTTACAATATTATAGATTAAAAGACTGAGGCCAGAGAAATTAAGTAAAATATCTAACGCTATAATTTTACTAAATATAATATTCAAGAGACAGGATTTAAACCCAACTCCTCTGTTTCCAGAGACTTCATTATTAATCATCACATTAATATCTTCAAATATTTCATCACTCAATTCTTTCATACTATCTCTCTAGGTAAAAAGAATTGAAGTCATTTTTACCTAGAGGAAGAAGAAAAATGACAATTTGAAGGTCTCAAATTAAACAGTGGCCTGGGTGCTTGCAAAGAAAAGGACAGATGAGTACCTCAGTGCTTGGTTATTTCACAATCCCTACTTTTCTCCTGTCAAATAATGACTGCCAACTTACATGCCCAGCCTAAACCTCTGTCCCGAGTCTCATGCTCATATTTCCAACTGCTTTATTCTATAACTCTACCTGAAAGCCAAAAGTGCTTGAATTTTTTTTTTTTTATCCTCCCCTGAGGATATTTTTTTCTATTGATTTTTAGAGAGTGTGTGAGAGAGGGAGAGACAAGAGAGAAACACTGATGTGAGAGACACATCGATTGCCTCCCGCATGCCCCAGATGAGAGCCAGGAGCCTGCAACCGAGGTATGTGGCCTTAGACTGAAAGCAAACCCGGGACCCTTTAGTCCGCAGGCCAATCCTCTATCCACTAAGCCAGACCAGCTAAGGCAAAAACAGAACCCTTGACTTTGCTACTCCCTCCAAACTTGTTCCCTTCCTCATCATCTCATCTCATCTAATGCTCCATTAAACCCAGGTGCTCAGACCAAAAAGCCTACACTAAGTCTATTCTTGATTCCTCCCTTACTATTACCCCTCAAATACAATTAATTAGCAAGTCCTGATGGCTCTTTCATCTCATATATCCTAAATCAAATAATTTCTCACCGTTATATATTCTCACTCACTACTAGTCACCCTAACCTAAGCATAGTAACTTTGCATAGACTACTGCAAGAGCTTTGTAACAGAGACGCCGTTTCCACTTTTGCCTCCCACTATTTTCCACTTAGAAGCCAAAATATGTTTATGTATTTTAAAATATAAATCAGACCACACTTTTATGCTCACATACCATAATACAAAATAAATCTGAACACTTTATGTATGTTAACAAGATTTACATAACCTGGAACTTGCTTACTTCTTATAACTTATTTCCTATCACTCCTCTGTCCTCCACGCACTGGCCTTTCTATTCCTCAGAGATTCCAAGCTACATCCCTCTGGCACGGAAACCTTTCCCTTTCCTCAAATCTTTAATAATTAGTATTTGCTGAAATCTCAGTTCCTTAGAGGGGCATTCCTAGACTACCTTATCTAAAATAGCCTTCTAAATCCCACTCCTTTCTATTGATCCTTAACTCTTATCACTGCCTTAAGTTTTCTTTATTTTCCCTTGTAATGTGTATGTATTTTCCAATTGGAATATAAGCGCTATAGGAGTTTTATTGAACAAAGAAGAAAACTTCTCCTTATTAAATGGGTGCCAGGAGTTGATGGATGCTATAAAAATCATGTGTGGCAGTGTTTATTAATGATTTGGCAGGCGAGGCTATTGAACTTCAAGGTTAAAAGTCAAGGTAAAGCAAGTTATCAATAGCCACAAAACAAAGCTAGTTAAATGGCTGAGTGAATTTTATAAAGCCAGATCTCTAATTCTAAACACATGCTGCAAATGTTCTGTGCTTACCTTAAAAATACTGACATGGAACCAGTCATAAAAGCTTCCAGGTGCTCAACAGATGGTGGTGATGATGGTGGGATACGGGGGAGGGCTACTAAATATGTTAGGGTCCAGCTGTTTAAACTTAGCAGCGACTTCTTGAAGCTCTGGACTTAAATATAAGAGCAAAAGGTCCAGAATCTAATCACAGTTCATGCCCTCTGGTGGCAGGTAACAGAATAGCACTCATACCAGGAACCACATGTTATGGGCCCAACTGCCCACAGTACCATTGTCCTATATAATAATTTTAAGCTTCGTGAAGTTATTAGACTCTATGGCTGTCAAGATGATTCCATGACACTTCCAACTCATTCTCTCCTCCCAGATAAGATTTACATACATGTACATATACAAATACATGTACAGAAATATGTCACTCATTATACAACCTCGAACAACTCATTTTTCTTTTCTTATTTCTATATTTGTCAGAGGAGGATATTGAATTAAAACAGTGCTTCCAAACTGAGGTTTGGTAACCTATCTCCATGCTACCTCAAGACAGAGAGAAACAAGAAAGAACTAGAAGAGAGATGTTGAATAAACTGTCTTTTTTTAAGGAAGAAGTGATTGTAGTTGGAAAAGATTGTTAGGCTTTCTTTTACCTTTGATAGGACTCTATCACCACTTTGCTGCTACATCCCCATATACAGACTCAAACACAATTCAGGTTAATTTAATTGGAGGTGGGGTTGTGACTAATCTTGAGATAGTCATAGGTATAAATGGTCTGGCATTACCCAATGCCAGGGGCTTTGCTGCAGAAAAAAGAAGTTTAGTAAATATTGTAAAAATTAACTTTATAAATAAGCATTTAAACCACCATGGTTGTTACTTCACTCTAAAATTTTGTTTTTGTCTCCTCACCCCCTGACTCCATCCCCACATTTCTATAAACAATTCAAGTTTCTGTGACCAGAAAATGAGATATGCATCTTAAAGATTCCCTTTTCTAGTGACCAGCCCTGG